CTAGTTAAAAGTTGATTCATGAATGTTGTAAAACGTATTAACATGTAAGAGAAAGCCGACCTTGTTATTAGCACAAATGAAGGCTGCTGATTCACCCTACAACATAGCAAAAATCACTCATGTAATGAGGGACATGTACTTACCTCTTTACATATAAAAACCTGTAACTTTCACGCTGACCTGTAGAAAGTAGACTTATCTGACATCATTTTCATGCATGCGCATTGAAGTTCAGGTTCACAGTTTGTTGAATATGTTTAGCTTAAACTCTCTAGTGTCATCATGAAATCGCAAGTAGTCTGTATTGTTGACACAAGCTAGCAATTCATTAAAATGAATTGGTCAAAAAGACTGCTTATGGTTGGTCAACTCCGTAAATGAGAGGTTGTCAGGTATAAGCTTTATGAGTGGGTCACCTTATCCACGTGCTGGTGATGTCTATTGGAAACGCCTGTTTTTTTTCTTAATAGTCCGTTATTGGTCGGTCCGCCCTGTGGATATTGTTTTCAGCGTCTTCGTCACTTGGTAGCTAAACTTGAATGATGTTTTCCTCTTTAGAATAAAAATTTTCATTGTCACTAGGATGCTCAATTTGGATGTAGCCCTCACTGTCACTACCATTGTCATTAGAACCACTGCTAGGTCAATTTGTACCAGTGTTCAACCTCCTTAATGTTGCAATTTACAATGAATATTGAAAATGTCTAATTATCAATACAATTAAATCTGTATAAGTTGACCTAAACTGTCTACAAACCAAATGATCAAAATGATCTAAATCACCAAAACGATCTAAATAATCTAAATGATCAAAATGATCTAAATCACCCAAATGATCAAAATGATCTAAATCACCCAAATGATCAAAATGATCTAAATCAATTAAACAGTCTTAACAATTGAATAGTCTTAACAATTAAATAGTCTTAACAATTAAATGACTTAAAAGATCAGGTCTAAGCCAGATTAAGCTGTATCATGTAGTGGAGTTTTTACCCTGAAGATAAAGGATAATCTGTTCTGTATGACTGATACAAATTGACTTGAGCACAATATGAAATAACCAAAGTTCTGTTTAACAAAACCACTTTGCATTATAGACATTGGAACTGATGGTGCCTAATGTTTCCAAATAAAATATCTATAGAGCAGCATCTGAAACGCTTTAAGGAAATTTCAATATGTTCAATTCAACAGCTAACTGTAAAAATTGCAGATTACCTTCCCTGGGCATGTCATGCACGAGGAGTGTTAGCTAACTGGCTCCCTACATAAAATAAATAAATTAACATAAGGATATATCAAACTAAATTGTACAATAAATCCTTTCCAGTCTGACATAAAAATAAGACAATGGGTGTGGTCAAATTGATCCATAAACTACATTATATCTCCAAAATTACAGTTTCAGTATTAAAATATCTTATATCAAAATGAAGCTTACAAATAGTTTTTTGAGATAATACAAGTTATCAAACTATCTATAAAATATATTACAAAGTATCTTGAAAATAGGGAGAAATATTTCCCTTGTCTTGACAGTTTCAATACCCTGGCTAACACTAACTTGATTTTCTCACAATTCAATAGGGATTTAAGTAGCTTCATTCACAGTTCACTGGAGCTTAAAATTGCTCTCCAAGCAGGGTCTGAAATTAGCTACCTAAATATCCTAACAGGGTTTTAAAATAGATTATGAACCTGTCACACATACAATTTATGGGTAAGGCTCATTTTATTACAAATAGCAAGTTATAAAATATAATAAAGGCATTGGGCAATATTATAGTGTACTATATAGGATCCATAGTCACAGGTTGTTATTTGATAACTTAATCAAGATACTGTACTGCTAAAAATGAAAAGCCTTTGTTCAAACAGATTTGGTGATATAAGATGTGAAAGGAGCTCTAAAAAGGTTTCTTGTAAATCATTCATATTGTCAAAATTATAACTACATTCAATGAATAGAGTTAATTTTCTGTCAGCCAATATAGATGAAATATGAGTAATAGAAGTTCAAATCTTTTTTTAGCTTTAATTAAATGAAGCTTAGTAAATGTTTAAGTAAATTAACTTACACTGTGTCTGTTCTAGGTGTGTTTGTGATATTTTCTCCCAGATTTGAAGAGTCTGGCTTGATTGATTGTGTGATTCCTATCAGATGTCATGATGTGATTTATGAGTTGTGTCACTAGATTAGAAGCTGGTTGCTGTTGTTGGAACATCATGGGTTGTATGGCAGAGAAAGATGGGGGAATATGGGATTGGTTATGGCTTGGTTGGAATGATTGATTTTGAACAAAAGATTGTGGAAAGACAAATCTTCAAAAAATATTTGCCAATCACATCAGCCCAAATTCAGATTATTCAGCTTTTGAATTATTTACTGTTGTTACAAATTGTGGCATTATTTCCCATTGAAAAACCATTCCCAGGGGCTAATGTCCCTTTCTTTTCCTTGTAGGCCTTAACGGCTGATATTCTAATTCCTCTTCCTTGATCCCATATTGAACATCTCATCGACATAATATATAGCTTATTCAGGTCTTAAAATTGAATAGCTAGTCCTTTAACACATATCCTCCCGATTAAAATTGGGAAAAGTTTTATTTTGCCCCTTTCTAATATAGCTTATTCAAATCTTAAAATTGCCACATGAATAGCTAGTCCTTTAACCCTTGACCTCCCAATTAAAATTATATATACAAGTTTTATACACAGGACATTAAATATCCATTTAACGTTTTCACATACTCTGATTTGAGAGTATGACATTCTAAAACTATTTCTAACTTTAGAATGTGTGAGCTTATGCCAGTTGTTTCAATGATTATGATGTAGGGGCAATTGGTGTTTGAGTAGTTAGATTTGGACATGACTCTGATATAGCAATTGGAACAAATATGCTCTGATTGTCTGGCAACTACTATAACAAAATCCGCACACCATCCTAGTATGCTGTTCAATATTGAGGTGTTTCTTAGTTGGAGTTAAGTTACTTTAGAAGGTTCCTCTTTAGACTATTATAGTCCTTTCAGCAATCCCCAGGGATTTTGTCATTTGAGACATCTCTTTGTATATTGAATAATTATGCAGAGTACAAGATGAAGAATAAAGAAACTGGGCAAATAATAATAAAATACATCTTCACTGTCAAAAATGTAGCATTCATGGGTTCGTATTTGGCTACTTAAGTAAGGGTGACTAATTTCCTAAATTTGATCAAGTTCTATTGATAGCTTTTATATGTTAACCTCAATTAACCAAGGAACTCAGTAACCATACAAACAGGTCTAAAGACAGTTTCACTGGATAAATTCACTCTTATATTTTATATTTATATATTATGGGGAGGGAGTGGAATGGTAAGTTGATTGGTTCTCTGTTGGTGCCATCTAGTTGGTGCCATTAGGTTACACATTGTATTTTCTATCACATCTATGGTTTCACCAAATCATGACAAACTAGATAATTTAAGTGTATTTATACTGTACATTTATTACACCTCCTACAATACGGGAGAGTGCTTTATGTTTTACAATTGAAATCTATGTAGAATCAGTTGATTTATATTTATCATTCACACAAAGAGGTCGCTGTAGCACCAATCCTATTTACACTAATTAGTGTTTTCGTTTATATTCCTCCTTTTCGAAAGTATTGCCTAACGGTCTGCACATATGGTTTCTGCGCCGCAAAAATTTGGTCATTTTGGTCGTAAAAACGAACATCAAGACTTTGGACCTAAGTATATTTATGTATAAACGCCTTGAGTATAAAAATGTAGAATAATGTTCTTCTCACTCGTCTTCGCTGGTCTAGTACATTATCAAGCGTTTAGCTGAGCATCAAGTTTGGGTAAAATCTAAATGACAAACTTTACTGAACCCGGCGGCAATTTACACTCTAACATCAGTATCTCTGTATAATTGTAGTTTAAGTTAGCATTGACGTTTAGATAACTCTGCATAAAGTTTTTTAAATTTATTCACGTTTCACTTTCAGAGCCACCGCCTGCCAATGAGCCATGATACCCAATCAGTTATAAATGGGCTATGATACCCGATCAGTAAATAGCTCAAAAGTGTATCAGCTTATGTTCAAAGGATTACACCAGTTTATCCAAGCAAATCCCCCAAATAAATGTATCAAGAAATGTTCTCAATTTCCAATCTTGGAATCATCAAAATATCAATGAGGCATTACGCCGTTCTGAAGAATGGGTTCCGCTCAAAATTACAGAATCATAAATTTAGTCAATTTGGCCTTTCAATGTAATGAATTCCCGGTCAAAATCTACTTTAACGGGTGAACCAGTACCCTATTTGATAACTTGTCCATGTTCTCGGTTGAAACTTACATAATATTTACTTTCAGATGACACTCAGCCCAGGATCCTCGTCGTGAAGGTTTAGCGTCACAGACAAGAATGCTGAACACCAGTTCGTGCCAACTTATATAGGCAGACAGCAATAGTCTCGAAACCATGGAATTTACAATTATGAATATTATAGGTAGAACTTATTGAAATTGAAATTTCCTGTAGAACTGATATTAATTATAAGACTTGTTGAAAGCTGAATTTTGTATTTATGAAACCATAGAGCAAAAGAAAAGGATTACAGCACAAAACTCTCGCACCAAAGTATGATGCAATCCAATATGCCAGCAAATATATAAAAAGTTTTGCACTGCCGCCCTTTTTACAGTAAATACGATGCAAAAATAGATTTGAGCCAGAAATATGATTTAAAGACTTGAAAGTAATGTGAGTATTGAATATTCTCCAAAATCTTGCTAGGCCTAGGGGCCAGAATACTACAACCCCCCCCCCCTCTTTTAAAACTAAGTGTCCCCACTTAAACCCATAATTTAAAGTACTACCCCGTTAATTTTTAATATTGCACTATGTACCTATAATATATAGATACATTATACTTGCTGATTGGTTGCCAATGAAAAATTGAATTTAATGATAATGTCTATGATAATTTGTAATTTAATCACTATAGTCTATTGTTGTATTATATGCAATATTGCATAATATATAGTATCAGCATATCATCATTGTAGGATACCTCTGGAGCCATGTTGGACCTGAGCCATCAACGTCTACGTCACAGGGTATCACCTCCAGCCACTGTTGGACCAAGCCCTCAAGCTACCACAGTCGGGATCTTACGCTTTGGACACATACGTCGCTTCCAGGAAGGCCCCGATACTGGACCCACAGTACGGTTTCATATCACAGTCATTGTGGTGTCTGGCGTGTACTTCAGTCACCGTCCTTCTTGTTGAATTTCCAGTAGTCCGGTCAAAGGTGTCAACAGTGTAGGTATAGGAGTGCATCAGGTCCGTTCTGTCCAGCTGTACCTTCCTAGTAGTAGTATTTTGTCCTTGTTTATTTGTCAATTCGGCTGTTTGTTCGTGAGTTTGCGTGTCCGTCCTCTGTTCAACTGGTACTGGCTCATTTGTCGTCTGTTTTTCTGTTGTGGCTTCTGGTTCATCTGTACGGTCTATCATATCCAGCACTTCATTGTTTGTCACTAGGTCCTCTGTGAGTTCTGGTTCATCTGTACGGTCTATCACATCCGGCACTTCATTGTTTGTCACTAGGTCCTCTGTGAGTTCTGGTTCATCTGTATAGTCTATCACATCCGGCACTTCATTGTTTGTCACTAGGTCCTCTGTGAGTTCTGGTTCATCTGTACGGTCTATCACATCCGGCACTTCATTGTTTGTCACTAGGTCCTCTGTTTTTTTTGTTTTTTTTTTATTTATTTATTTCATTGATATAGTTTAAAACACAATTACAATAGCATCCCTAAATCGCCAGAGGGCATTATATAGGAATGGTGAGAGGCTGGGGGTGGCAGGCAGACAGGGTCCCGGACTGGAGCAGGTGTGACAGGACAACAGGATATCAGAGAGAGAGACATGAGGGAGGGAATTAGCTATTGTCTATAATGAAGTCAAGTATCAGTGAAATGGCTTTAGAGTTTACATCTATGCTTAAGTTTGGGCTTCCTGTTTTCAAAATGGAGATAAAATCGTACTGGGGAAGATTATAATTGAGAGAAGGTTCTAATTCAGCAAGTTTATCCCAGAGATCCTGTCTTACTAAGGTTAAGCGAATGCACTGGAAAAGAATATGCTTTAAGGTTTGAGAGCTGCCACAAGCACAATTAGGGCTGTCAACAGAGTTGAAATTATGGGCATAAAATTGAGCTTTAAAAAATAAGTCAGCTCTTACTTTATTCACCACTATCTCATGCCGTCTAGAAAGATTGAGTTGACTTGTGGTCAAAATTTTAGAGGGGTTTTGGAGGAAAAGCCGTTGGTGTTTTTTTGAAATTTTGAAGAGTTTTCTTGGTTTTAATAGAAGGGGGGAGCTCTAGCCATTTTGAGATTGCAGAAGGTATTGCTGAGGATGAGAATCTAGCAGAGCATCTTATGGGCATTTTGAATGGATCAATGTATCTCAAGTTTCTGTTCCTAACATTACTATACTTATCAAAAATGTCTGTGATATATGAGGGACTTGTACCATTGGCAACTTTGAACATAAAATTATTTGATTGTATTCTACGTCTAGATTCAAGTGTTGGCCAGTTTAGGAGACTTAGGACCTTTTCTGTACTGCTCCCTTGGATGCAGCCAGAACAATAGAGTGCCGCTGTGTAATATAGACTATCGAGTCTTCGCAAAAGAAATTTAGAAGCTGTGCCATATAAAATGGCACCATAATCAAAGTGAGGAAGAATGAATGAGTTGAAGATTGTTTCTAGGTGCTTGCTCCCAAGCTTGAATTTGAGTTTCTTTAATGGGTTTAACATTTTTCTTATTTTGACTAGTAAACCACCAATATGCTTATCATAAGATAAACATGGGTCAAAAATGAGTCCTAAATGTTTGTGCTCTGTGTCTCTTTTGATTTCTATATTGTTTAGTTTTGAAGTTGACACATTATCAGTTTTTGTTCTAGGTGAGTGAAAAATCATCTTGGAACTGAGTTCTGGTTCATCTGTACGGTCCATCACATCCGGCACTTCATTGTTTGTCACTAGGTCCTCTGTGAGTTGTGGTTCATCCGTCTTGTCCATCAGGTCAGGTACCAATCCATCTGTCTGTTGCTCTGTTGTGGGTTCTGTCTCGTTTGTCCGGTCTGTCACATCCGGCACTTCATTGTCTGTCACTGACTTCGCTATGAGTGCTGGCTCTTCCTTAAGTCCTGGTTCGTCCGTAAGTTCTGGCTCGTCTGCCAGTCCTGGTTCATCCCTCACGTCCATCAGTGTCACCGTTCATCCCTCACGTCCATCAGTGTCACCGTTCATGTGTCCATCTCGAGGTCCTGGTACAGAGGAGCGTCCACACTCCCCTGTAGCTCCATGTCTAAACTATCTTCCGTCGTTGGTACGTTCTTCTTTGGTATACGTAGTATAATTGTCTAATGTTATACATAGTATAACAATTACCTTTATCTGCATTTTTACAGATTTTCCATTACCATCAACAGAAATAGTGACAACATTGTCATCTTTTGTTGGCACATACAACCTTTGGAGTTTTTCCATCAGCCTGATGTTACCCACTACAGTTCCAGGATATTCATCCTTGATGCCAAGGTTCACCTGTTAATAATGCAAGTGAAGTGGCCAAATACATCTGTTAACTATTCTAGGGTTTCACATAGAAAGCTGTTGTTATTATTAGTATTGTACCTTCTCGAGTGTTCTCACTGAACTATTAAGGTATTAAATGTACACTGTATGATGGTTTAAAAACAGCATGGCATTTAAAAGGTAGGTTTGCAAAATAACAGACAATCTTATGATGGGAATCCAGGGTGGTGGTTTGATATTTGAGGGATATGTTTCCCATGTCGGCCATGAAATGAGGATTCAAGCATACTAGTTACACTTCCTTGTGGAGCTTGGAATCTGGAATTAAAGCTAGTGACACAATCAGACAAAGTGAATGAAATACCGTAAAGATCTCAGGTCAGATTGTTTCAAATTTCAGTTCTTTTTACCCTACAAAGCCTTACATGTGAAATCAAATTGTGTTCTTTTGGTTTTTCTAAATTCGCCATCAAAGCATTATAAATGCTACACACTTGCCTTGCTGTATCCACATCCTTGTGGGATAAAATTTTCTCATGTTGACTGTCCTCGTGTTGGTTGCTGATGTGGTCCATACAACTAACCGATTTTCTTTTCACTACCCTGGTTTCAACACCCAAATTCGTTGCTGTATAAGTAGTTGGCTATTATGGGAGCCATCCAATGCTCTAATGCTTCACACCAACGCTATATCTTAAAAGATTTCAATTCTTTTTTTTTTTATATCTATCAAAATAATTATAACATTTTTTGGTGTTTTATGGCTTTTGTGAATGAATGTTGACCCTTTAAAATGCCTATGGAGACTAGATTTTATCTATCCAACACCATTTGAGACTGAATGCTCTATCTTGTATGATCTACAACTATTTTTGATGTTATATGAGTATTGATTTTCAATTTCTAATTTTTTCTTCAACATGTATTGTAATGACTTCAGTATGAATGAAATGTCCCTTGGTGTTCTGGTCTTGGATTGTAATATCGGTTCTTGAATGGTGGGGGAAAGGGGGTGTTTCTTTTCACATTAGATCATGGTTTCGGATATATGGGGTTCGTTTTTCTCGACTGTTATACACTTAGAGTTTGCTTTTTTCTTGCTAAAAGTTCCATAACAACTTTTGGTCCTTTCCCTTTGGCACTTGTGCTTAGATATTTAGTTTATTCTTAATCTTGTTTGGAAGTTGTACTGGTATGGTAAACATGTCCATTTGCTATTGATTTGGAAGACTTGCTTTAAAGATGTCATTTTAAAAGCAAAAAAGGCTCCAAAACGTAATAAAATATGTAGTTTGGATGTTCATTTATGTCTGTGGATTATATTTTATACCACAAACACATATAAATACCTGAAATTTGCAATAAAAGTGCCCAAAAATTGTTGTTTCGAAATTCCCCATTTTTCCTGTATCGCGCTAGTCACGTGACCCTTACGCGTAGCAGGCAATGCCTAGTTACAGTACATATTTCAACATGTTCAATAGGGTTCAACGAATATGGCAAACATCAGCGATTCTGACTCCCGGGTTCTGGGAAATTGCTATATATAAATCGGCGAGAGGGTGTTATTTAAGGAGGACAATTTAAGGAGGGGAAATATGTCCAAGTATGCCAGTAAAAGAGCAGATATGGACTTTAGACAAGTACTATGACGGAGAATCAACTAAAAAAATGTGCGTTCTGGAATGAAGACCCGTTGCCATTGACTGAGAATCCCAGCGATCCTATAATCCTACTCAGTTTGAATTTAGACGCGGAAAACAGGTTATGAAAACGGGCTCTCTGCAAAGTTATCAAATTTAGAAAATATGGATCTTGTTTTTGAGTGGCTTAACAAGCATTCGGATACAAGACTTGGCGCTATCTCTTGTCAAATACACGCAGACTTGCAGTAAATTGGCCATTGCAAATTGCAAAATCAGATCGTCAAATTAATCGCTTCGTTTTTAAACGTATGCTTCATATCTTCATCCAAAACTTTAGGATTCGATAGAGATAAGTTAAAACTAGTACAGGAAGAAATGGGAGATCCTACCTTAATTTAGAATCGCTGATTTCTCTGGACAAATTCCGAGAAGAAATTGTTCAACATCGCGATCAGCTCAGACTAAACTTACATGTCGTGCATGTCACTCTGAACTCACGTGATAAAATACGGCATTTTGATTGGTTACTACTCGTGTTGTCATGACGCGAAAAACAATAGTAAACACTGAATATGTTAATGAACTGTCATATATGGAGCAATTGTCTTTCTGATTGGTTAACTTTACACGCCTCCTAAATGAATATAGTAGTCGTAGTAAATGATTCATTGATAACTCTGAAAGTGGGCGTGACCAGCTTTATTTTGACACCAAATTCAAGATGTTTCAAATAAAAATGGCCTTGCAAGACGAGGTTGAAATATCGGCAGTTTGATACTGATATGGTCTACGATAGATCAAAATTGACTGCCCCGCGTCATATGTCACGTGAGCCTATATTTGTTGAAAAATGAAAGAGATAGTGACACTTTTTAATCTTAAGTTAATACCAATATTACAAACACATATCTATTTTTTTCATTAAATATTTATTTCTTCATTATACATACATTTGTTTTACACTGCATTGATTTATTTTTGCAAAACCTTTGCTATTAGATCTTTAAACAATGGGAATTGTGATGTAATGGAAAAGTTCCATTTTAAGTCAAGCCACATTGGATTTTATCATTGGCAAAAATAGTATATTTTTACATTTTGATTAATTTGATTTTACATCTTTCTCCATGTCCTTAATAACATTTGCTGTTAATCTATCCTCTAAATTTCAATGTATATTTCTGGTCCTTTAAAAACATTTTTTTCAAATGTAATATATTTTTAATTATGATATTAATTTGTCTCAGTGTATAATCTGTTTCATTGTAAATAAATGCATGCCATCCAGAAGTATTTCTTTCCAAGTTTTGGAGAGAAGCAAGCAAGTATGAGTTTGATTTGCTGACACCAACAGAGTCTCTTACATAGTCATTAATAAGAATGTCTAAAGCAGCATGAGTGTCCTTTGGAAACAAAACAGGGACAAGATGGTTGGCTCCTTTACCAGTTTGAAAAGGGGATATTCAGTTTAGTTAAAAGTTGACTCTCGGTCTCATTTTGGGATTTGTTATATCCAATCCAGTTGTCATCTTTGGCAGCATTCCAGTCCTCTATTGTGAGGCAAACTGCTTCATCCCTCCCCTTCTAGCATTGAAAAGGGTGATTCTTAGACAGAACTTCATTTCAAAGCTCTTTGTTATTAATGCTAGTTGCTCGGTATTCAAACAACGAACTCTTTTTGTATGGAATTTCACATCACATGTTCTTGTTACGAAATCATCTACCCATTGCTCAATCTCAGAATTGCATGCACGCCCTTTTTCTAGACAAGGAGGAGGGCCTAGTACTTAATCAGCTGCTAGAAAAGGAGCCCTTCCAAACATTAGTTCAGCAGGTGAAAACTTGTGGTGGTTTCATATACAGCAGTACGGATTGCTGAAGCCACAAATGGAAGATAATCAGGCCAGTCTCTGTGATGACTGGACACTACTTTGGACAATAAAGCTTCAATAGTTTGGTTGGAACACTCAACCATAACATCCTATTGGAGATCGAATGGCGCCATTCTTGTCTTGTCAATGTTTAAGATTTTACAAAGCTCTTGAAAGAGCTTTGATTCGAATTGTGCTCCCTGATCAGAGTGGAGCTGTAATGGGGAACCATATCTGCAGAAGAATTCATGCATCAATAAATAAGCTACAGTGGCAGCCTCTTGGTTTGGCATAAGTAATACTTCAGGATATTTTGTGAAGAAGTCCTCAGCTACAAGAATATACTTGAAGCCTTCCTCGGACTGAGGGAGGGGTCCCAATATATCTATTGATATGCATTCCAAAGGCATGGCATGGCAAACTGATGGATCTTCTCGAGCAACAGTGCTGAGCTGATAAACTAGATGTTCATACAACAGCTTTATTACAACAAATTTGCCAACACCACCACCTCCTTTTATGAAAATGTCATAAACATTGAAGTTAGCGCTACGTACTAGGCTTTTGACCCAGGCTGCTAAATATGTTTCTGTTTGATTTAAACTTTTTTAGCAAATCTGCTTTTATATATATGATACTTACTTTGAAAATTTGTCTTTTTCTGGTGTCACTGAAGATAAGTATATTTTCAGGCTTTACATCGCAGTGGATTATGCCATTACAGTGCAGTCCCTCTATTGCCATGGCAATGTCTAGACCCATCATGGTCACTAATCTAAGCCTTAACCCACCAGTTATTTCCGGTCTTTCAGAAAAGTAAGGCATCAGAGAAGGCCCTAAAAATACAAATGTGACAATTGAATTGTTGTCCTTAATTGTAGCATTATGAAGGTCCTTTTGGATATAATTTTTGATTGTCCTCTTTGGTAACTACCCATATAGAGAAACAAGCAAGTAAACATGGATCAGAAGATCGCTGGATTGCAATTGTGTAGCTGTATTTATCACAGAGATTGCCAAGGGGTTGTCACCTAATACCTCCTCTATATCCCTCTGAACTAAGTTCTATGGAATAACAATATAATGCTTATTACCTTGATTTGGAAACATTTGATCAGATGGAACTGTCTGCAGTGATCTTTCCCTATAATCTGCAAGATACACCATTAATTTTGCAACAGGATGTGGTATTATAACTGGAACAGGCTTTGTTCCTTTTCTTACACCAGCATAACTTATTCATATTGGCTTTCTTGATCTGTATA